TTTAAAATACCGTTATCTTAGCAATTCATGCAATGTTACTAAATTCTCATTTAAGACCAAATTTAATTAATTGCTCTGGGGTAATGAATTACTAATGTTTCAAGATTTCTTGAAGCCCATGAGACCTCTGACCAGAACGTTTTAAATACTGGACTAGTAGTGTATCATTTCAGGCATCCACTTCCTGCCCCACCTCACACACACACAAACTTTGAAAAGGCACAGGCACAATAAATGTGTTTTTATTTGCAGAATGGTTAATCCATAAAGAGGAGAAAAAGTCTTAAAAAAAAAGAAAAGAAAAAGGTTTTAATAAATAATGCTGATACTTGATACTGGTTTAGAAATATGCTAATCTCCAAAACGTTTCTGGGCTGAACTCACCTCGAGCAAAGGTCAACCCAGGCCATAGGAGGGTCAGACAGAGACCATGAAAGGTCAACATAAGGCCATACTGATACATTCAAAGGAAAAGGTATTATTAAAAAGATGCACGACCTTCTGATATCTTTTTCTCAGGATCATTTACTGTTACACACAATCATTGGGATCAAATGTTGGTGGAATCAAGTTTCCCATAAATTTCTATTTAATCATGGAATAGCATATCTGTGTAGTGCTTTACAGTTTTCAAAGCACTGCCATAAATACTTATTGATTTTTGAAACCTGTGTATGAGGAAAAGGCAAGCAGTTGTGATCACTCCCATTTTTGAGTTAATTACGGACAAAGGACTGATCCAAAGTCACAGAATTAATAAGACATGGACACAGAACCCAGTGCTCAGTCCACTCCATTAACTCATTCATTTGTTCAACTAACTGGGACTATGGACTCAGAGATGAACGAGACCTAGCCTCTGGCCCCAAGGAGCCCACAGTTTAGTGAGCAAGTAGAAAGAAAACCCCATACCATTTATAATACAAACGTAAAAAGCATAGCAGGAAGAATGCATGCAAGTCTTCCAGAAGAGGTCAATTCTTAAACCTAGGTTTCAATGGAGAAAGAAATATCTAGGCCCAGCAGGGAGTGAGAGGTAGAGGGAGAAAGACAAGCAGAGGTCATCCAATTCTGTTCAAATAGAAAAGTGAGTGTGAGTCCTGGCAGAAACTTAAGAGTATTGAGTCAGCAGCGGACAGTCTTGGCCTTGACTGCCTTACTCTGTGGGCCCAGCCACTGGTGCTCAGATTCAGATGTATGCTAATCTCCAAAAAGCTTTCTGGGCTGACCTCACCTCCTATGCAATAAAGCATACTGGTGGCACATTTCATTTCTTTTAATACTGTCATATCTTGTAGGAAGAATGACTCAAGCCCTGCATCTGAATGAGTAGATTGTTTTCTATAGCCTATGTATGTATACACACATTTCATACACCCACATGGATAGTTTATATCCGTAAAACTATGTAGAATATAAGTATCCACATAGATTATACAAAACATACATAGAACTCTACAAACCTTGCATGCAGAGACATCTGAATAATGTGTATGTCTAGACCAACCCCTTGAGATATGTTTAGATGGAAAAGGGTTACGGAGAGAGAGGTTACCATGCAGGACAACCATCTGTCCTAGATGATTCAGACAGTCATTTGCCTGCAGAGGAGGAATTGAAGGGGTTGGACAAGATGAATTCCAAAGATACTTTAAAGCTCCATGGTTTAATGTTTTATGAGCTTACCTGCATGAAGCAGTTTCTCTATTTTTGATAAATAAAATTCCATGACCCTGGTGAAATAATTCCTCTCTGCCATTTCTTTTGTGTGTGTGCTCAGGCAGAAAATGTATTATTGATATCTGATTTAGCCACAGACAATGTTGACTTAGAGCACTGAATGAGAAGTCAGGAAACCTATATCCTCTCCCCAAACCACCCTTCTCCCTTCCCCTACTCACCCCACCTCCAAGCAGGGAGACAGCTGTGTGACCTTGGGCAATAGACTTGACCTCTCTGGGCTACAGCTTCCCAGGTATTAAATGAAAGGAGTGGCTAAGTGTTCTACAATTCTCTTCCAGCTCTAAATCTATGAAATCATTCCTCTCCCTCAAGACTTAGTTTATCTCCACAGCTCTAAAAATCAGGACTAATAAAACTGGATTCAGATCACCTCTATTCTAACCATCCTCTCTTTTCTTACTTTTTAAAACCATCCAAATCTTGCATAATTTAAGTGATCAGTGCTTCCCTGGTTGCTCTGGTTTAAATTATGCATTGTTGCTATTTGGGGAAAATTTAGACTGAGTCCAGTCTGGGATCACTGGCTGAGAACAATAAGCCCCCAAAGTGAGAAAGGATAAAGGCCTCTCCAGACAGGATCTGCTTTTAATGCATTGAGCACAGAGTTTACAAAAAGGGCATTGATTGTGTAAAGAGCCACCAAAACAGCAAGGGACTGGTAAGGCTGCAGTAAATTCTCCTAGATGCCACTGACCTTGGCTGCGTTTCAGGGGTCAGGCATTCCCCAGGAAGTTCTCAGCAGGCAGGCTTTCCTGAGGGTTTAGGAACAAATGAGACCTCTCATCTACATGAGCCCATCTCTCTTAATCTGGGAAAAAAGAAAAAGATCATCTGCCCTCTGATTTGTGGAGATTACCTCTGTGGCCTTTGGACTCATCTCCAGGCCTGGACAACTCACCCACCACAAGACTGGTCGCAGACCCCTGCCCTCTGGGAGGCAATTGTCCCCACATCTGCACTTAAGTCCTCCTGCTAGCAGTTCCCCATCTCCTGGGCTAGCTGGAAGCTGTATCCCTCCCTCTTTCCACACCTCCTGTGGGCAGAAATACAGTGGCAAAGCACTAAAGCCCAAGCCACAAAGAGCAATTTCAGTGAATTGTGCAAAGATATCTTTTCAAAATACTGATCTCCCAAGCGCAGATCTCCCAGGTGTGAATCGAACTCCAGGTCGGCCGAGGAGCCCTTGTGGTTGCTCATAAGCTTGCAAGCTCTGGGTATCTGGGTATCTGAAAACCTTCCCCAGGAAAAAGCCCACAAGGGACACCTCCAGACCAAGCCCAACTTACAATCGTATAAGAGCGCTATCCATTAGAGAAGCGACGTTGAGATTCCGGCTCAGGGAAATCGCAAGACTTGCCCATTGTTCAGACTCCCATCCCCCCGCCCCGTCCTCCTCCCCAGCTTTGCCACTTTTCTCTACCCTGAAGTCTGGGCCATCCATCCACCTGATTAACCCGCTGGCAGAAACTCCCAGCGCAGAAAGTAGGGCTTATGAACACACACAGTCTGTAAAGCAGGAAGCCACAGACTTGGCCAAAGCACCCACCCCGTTACCAACCTCCACCCCCAGCTGCCCAGGGGGCAGCGGGTTCTGAATGCGGCCTTTCGGCGCCGGGGAAATAGCTCACTGTAATAACGCATGAATGAGCTTTTGCTACCCAACTATCAAAAAAAGCCATTTCAAATGGCATCTCTGCTCCTTCTCAGCCCCTTGGCTGCCTCCCAGAAACCTCACCTCTGAGATGGAAGGATTAAGGAGAAGGGGAGGGGGAGTTAAAAAGAGGAGGGTAGGTCAGGAGAGAGAGGATTAACGAGACTAAAGAAAAAGTACCACTTTGACCATAAAGGTAGTTCTTTAAAATAACAGCGAAGAAGGCAATGTCAAGGCAAGTACTGAAGATTCAGGTATACAACCCCAAGATTTAGCATCTAACAATGTATTCTTCAGGAGGGCGTGGGAACTTCCAAGCTTCCCCTATCCTGCCCGTCTCTGTGTTGAGAGCCACCATCAGTTCGGTCTCACCGCCCCTCCCTGCCTCATGTATATACAATCGCTTTTTTTTTTTTAATTTATTTTTAGTTCAAGACAGGAAAAAGCCGTGCTAAGATTGGTAGCCCATCCTTCTCAGACCCCCGCTGCTGCTGCCACCCACACCCCTCCCCCCCCTTCCAGGCAGGCAGCATCTAATTAACACCTCAAGAAAGCTCTGCCCCCTTCCCCGAAGGAGTGTGTTGGGCTTGGGGGGTGGGGAGGCGTCGAGGCTGCACTAGGATTCCTGGTATTCCGATCTCAAAACAACAGCAAAATGGATTCTATATCAGTGATGTCTTAGTCAATACAATGAAACGGCGTCTGAGGCAATTCACGTGAGGGTAAATGCAAACCAGGGGGTCTGGAAGGGGGTGGGGGTAGGTGCTTTACAAAGGACTAGCCACAGACACAGAGAAAACACACACACACACACACACACACACACACACACACACTCTCACACACACACTCCCACTCCCAGGAGTTCCGGTCTGATTGGGGGGAAAGCAGCGAACACATCCCTTTCACCTGCTTAAGTTCAGCCATAAAACTGAAATGTCACAGCCACAAAGTCAGAAAGCACAGGCAGGGCTGAGTTAAAACGATAAATAAAGGTGAGCGGCAGACCTGCGTTTAAGAGAGCGCTGAGAGGGAGTCGGGGCGCCGACGGCAGAAAAGGGGGGGAAGGGGAGGCCGTTGCCAGCTACAAGACCAGCATAGCAATAGCTGCCCCCTTGGAGCGGCAGGTTCGGCGTCGCGGGGACAGCCAGGCTCACAATGTCATCTAGCAGGTAGCTGGAAAACGTGAGGGACCAGTGCCTTTATTCGCGCTGTTGTTATTCTTTTTGCAGAAAGGGACAGTGGGGTCTAGAGCCTTGGCACTAGACGACTGCCCGGGGCTTGTGTACATACACACGCACGCACACACACACGAGCCTTTCATTTTAATGCTCTTACACCGGTCTACGATGAAACTGGCACAAGCTCCACGAGTTCTCAGGGGAGCTTTGGCTGCCACCAAAGGAGGACACGTACCGCACAGCCCCTGCTGTGGGTGCTTAGCCAAGAGCACCTCAGCAACCCCCGAATCTAAACGAGAACCCAGGTTCCCTCGCGTCGCATTCGCCCGCCTCTGCCCACCAGCCCCAGCCCCAGTTCCACGCACCGAGCCCATTCACCCTGACCCAAAACACTGGAAAGAAATCAGAAAACATGTTCCACTCACCCTCAAAGCCGAGAGATCGATTTCATCCAGGCTGCGAGCCGGAGAGTCGCTCGCCATGTCGACTTCTTCGCCGGAGAAATGGACCAAAACCACCCCGAAGATTCCCCGTTGAAAATTCCACCTCGGTCTATTTCACTCGCGTCCTCATGCGGGTGTCGCGCCAGAGGCCCGGGGCCCAGCCTCCCCCGCCCACCCCGGCCCCACAGCGCCTGATCGCGATCCTCAGCGCGTCAGTCCGCCGGCTCCGGGAGCCCAGCCTGCGCGGATCTCCAAGCCCGGAGTCGCGGTGCGTGTGGGCTGCGCGCCCTGAGCAGCTAAGGGCGCTGGGGCTGCGTGGGTGTATTTAAATGGGACATGCTTCTTTGCTTGTGCGTGGATGGCGGCTGCATTGGCTGTTATAATGAGACACATCAACTCCTCCACTCAGCTGGGGGGGTGGGGGTGGAGAACCACACAGAACTGTCTATCACCGCTTCCTGGGAGGAGTAAAGGGGGCGGGGGGGAAGAGGCGGAGGAGGCGTGGTCTCCTACTGGGGAGAGGCCGCGCTTCCTGACCCCGGTCCCTCTGCACCAACGTGGATGGGGGAGGGGCGCGCACCCTTTCAGCCCAGGTTTTGCGGGCTAATCGGGCTGGATCTAAAGAGCTGTTCCTGAACCCTGCCGTGCTTATCGTAGGGACAAGGGGACTTTATTTTTGTGTGGCCAATTCTTGCGCTGCAGCAAAATGGCCCTTCAGTCGCATTTTGAGGGGTTCTCGGCAGGGTTCAAATGCTCCAACGTTGAAAAAAAATCCGGAGGGAAAAAGAAAAAGAGCGACGCCTCCCTCCCCCCATTAATTATTTGTGGGGCTGGAGTAGCGCGGGCTGCTGCAACCGGTGCATATAAGGACTTGTGTGCAAGGAAGGGGGTCCGCCTCCAGCCGCGGAACGAATGGGGGAGAAGCGCACTCGCGCCGGGCGCCCAGACCCCCGCTTCGGCAATTTGCAACTGCCGTTGGGTCGGTTCCTCTTGCGGCCCCCGGGACCCCGCAGGGCAGTTCTAGAGGGCCGGTCACTGGCCGCCTCCGGGCTGGGAAGGTTTGCGAAAAGCGGGAAAGCTGGGAGCTCTGAGCTCCCTCTTGGGCTCGCCACACCCAGGACCTACCCGTACCGCAATTCCCCCACGGAAACAACCGAACTGAAACGAGGATTGTTCTCTGGGTGCAATGGCTTGAATGCTTCAGGTAATTCGGAAGGCAATACTGGATAAGGCAGCACACGCCGCCTCAGGACCCTGCATCGTCCTTTCCGGCTGTGTTTCTGCTGCTGACCTACCCAGATTGATAGAGAAAGTTTGGCTGGCGGATAAGATGTAACCCAGAAGATGTACGGCGTGAGAGCGATTTCACTCCACCCGCATTCTCATTTATAGGCTGTACGTTTACAGTGGTAAACCTGACATTCTGTAATATGGAGTGTCAAGTCACTTCCCCCAACCTCCTCGCGCAGCCCTTCCTGTACGGCCTTGGCCACGCGAAATACATAGGATGAAACGCTAAAATTGAACTTTTCTCTCAATAACAGCAGTAGCTTCGAAAGCATTATCTGCACCTCTGTTAAGATGAGAATTTTCTTCTGGCCAAGTGTCCTGAGGGTTTTTTAGTCGTGTGGTATGAATATCAGCTTCAGAACAATGCTTTTGAATGAATGAACAGAACCCAATGTAGTTAGTTCTTCAGGACTGCAGACGTTAGGAGACTTTCAAACAGCATTCGGTATGCGGTCTGCTGTTTTTGTTAATAATATTCTACTTATTTATATGCATCGTGCATCATGAAACTTGAAAATTGTTCCAACATCTCAGTGGCCGTAACAGTTTAGGAGCTTTTGCCATTAAAACGTCAAACGTTTAAATGTGTCATATTCAAAACATTTGATTTGATCTCACATTTTCTAATAAAATCATCCAGCTCGAGGTAGTAACTAAGCCACCAAGTAATGTCGAAATGACGTAAAAACCTATTATTTCTCATCGTCCTTATTTTTCCTTTCTCTGTGCCTTTTTTACCCTTAATCTAGATGACAAGTTAATGTATTGTCTCAGTATTGAAAGAAAATAATTAAGATCAGGTATTGATATCTATGAACAGAACTATTTTTAAAACTCCAAACATATGAAAAATGAGGTAAACATTTTTTTCAAGGGGAGCCTTCATTTTATACCCCCAATTTTACTTCACAGATTTTACAAATTTGTGATGTTTCCAAACATCACAAATAGGTCATTTCTTTTAGCGTTAATCAGCTGTTTAGGACGTAAGGGTGTCATGATACTGGCACTAAATTCTACCCTTGGGTTTAGAATCCGATTAGAAAACCGTATATTCGGTACAGCGATGTGTACTAAGTGGGGGAGGGCTTCCTAGGAGCCTGAGAGGATGATAAGAGAGTCAGGTGGAGGCAGGGATGCTGGTTGCAGGAAATACCATAAAAGGAGAGATTACAACAGCCAAGGTCCCTCCAGCTGGTAAGGGAAGGAGGAAACTCCAGGCAGTTTGTGCTGGAGGTGAAGTAATTGTGCTGACTGGGCTGAGGAGGAAAGCAGAGGTCAGATCAGGTAGAGCTTTGCATATACCATTTAAGAAACTTGAACTTTATTTTTTAGGTCGAGTGTATATCAAATTTCAGCCATTTCTGTAAAAACTCCTAATGTTTTGCCATATCTGTAAACCTCCTGGACAGTTGTTATTTACTTAACATTTTTCTTTAAATCAAGACTTTTCTTTTTTTCTCATATTTAACTTAAAAGGAAACATAAGTCACTACTGTGGATGGAAAGCTAGCAACACCTGCTAAAAAACAGAAGGAAATCATTACAATAAATACAATGGAAAATAAAACAATATTATTAAATTCTAAGTAAATACCTATCCTGAGTCTTTAATTTGTTAAAAGAGAGATTAGCAAATGCCAGAAAAGGCATTCAAAACTTGACCAAAGTGAGATTTTCTTCCTGGTGTAATCTGAAGGGTTGAAAGAATTGTTATCATTTATGTGCAGTTTGAAAGCCTGCAAAACAATATGATATGCTGTTTATGTCTGTCTAAATATATAGATAACTAAGAAAAGCATGGACATAGGAAGGATACAGAAGCATGAACTTCGGGGCAGGAGAAGGGAAGAAGAGAAAGAGGATGGGAAAGCACAAAGGAGGCTCCAACAATGGTATCTAAAATAATTTTTTTTTTTAAGATCTTAGGGCTTCCCTGGTGGCGCAGTGGTTAAGAATATGCCTGCCAATGCAGGGGACACGGGTTCGAGCCCTGGTCCGGGAAGATCCCACATGCCGCGGAGCAACTAAGCCCGTGTACCACAACTACTGAGCCTGCGCTCTAGAGCCCGTGAGCCACAACTATTAAATCTGCATGCCACAACTACTGAAGCCCATGGGTAGAGCCTGTGCTCCGCAACAAGAGCAGTCACCACAATGAGAAGCCCGTGCACCACAAAGAAGAGTAGCCCCTGCTCACCGCAACTAGAGAAAAGCCCACGCGCAGCATCAAAGACCCAACACAGCCAAAATTAAAATAAATTTATTTTAAAAAAGAGATCTTAAGCAAATATTGCTAAATGTTTGGAATCATTCAGTCTGGATTGTTACTAATGGGTGCTTGGGCCAAGGAAACAAGGTATCACCCCAAGGTACTACCACCAATTTCCAGGAGAAATGAGACCACACACACACACACACACACACACACACACACACATGCTGAAGGTAAACTATACATACTTACGTCGCCCGACCTCCACCATGCCCTGTCCTGCCCCTCTTCCTACTGCAATCAGCAAAGCAAGCACTCAGACTTAGAAGTGGTACCACAGATAGGCAAGTGAGATTTCCAAACACTGAGTAGACCAATCACCAATCATTCGTGGAAATCTATTACTATGAAAGACAGGCACTAATTTCTTTCTTTTTTTTTTCTTTTTTTTTTTTTTTGCGGTACTTGGGCCTCTCACTGTTGTAGCCTCTCCCGCCACGGAGCACAGGCTCCAGACAAGCAGGCTCAGCGGCCATGGCTCACGGGCCCAGCCACTCCGCAGCATGTGGGATCCTCCCCGACGGGGGCACGAACCCGTGTCCCCTGCATCGGCAGGCGGACTCTCAACCACTGCGCCACAGGGAAGCCCTCTTTTTTTTTTTTTTAAACTTATTTATTTTTGGCTGTGTTGGATCTTCATTGCTGCACGCAGGCTTTTTCTAGTTGTGGCGAGCGAGGGCCGCTCTTTGTTGGTGTGCGTGAGCTTCTCATTGTGGTGGCTTCTCTTGTTGCGGAGCATGGGCTGTAGGCTCGTGGGCTTCAGTAGTTATGGCACGTGGGCTTAGTAGTTGTGGAGCACAGGCTTAGTTGGTCCATGACACGTGGGATCTTCCTGGACCAGGGATCGAACCTGTGTCCCCTGCATTGGCAGGCAGATTCTTAACCACTGTGCCACCAGGGAAGTCCAAGACAGAAACTGATTTCAGTCAATAAACAAATTGAAAGCTCCAAGTTATTTTTAATGGAGCAAAAATAGGTTTTACTATATATGTATTTTTTACCCTCAGATGTATATAATACAGAATCTTACATTCATAAAACAACCAGATTATTATGGAAACAAACTAGTTAGAGGACGAATTAAGAATTTATTTGTTGAAATTTTTTAATGAGTTGGACAGTAATAACTAATACTGTGCTGCAGATACTCTTATAAGCATTCATGTATTAACGTATTTAATCTTTATAATCTTACAAAATAGGCAGTATTATTAGAATATTCATTTTACGGATGAGTAAACTGAAAAATAGAAAGGTTCATTAACTTACTGAAGGCAACACAGTAATAAATGGTTGAACCAGAATTTGAACTCAGGCTCTTACTCACCATGCTACACTGACTTAGGCTGAACTGAAGGGTAAATTAGTAAGCTAGAAGATTGGACTCAGTTTTCCCCTAGATTGTAGGAGAAAGGATAAAGCAATGAGCAAAAATTTAAGTAATATAGAGAATAAATCCAGAAGTTTCAACACTTCTCTAACAAGAGAGCTAGAGAATGGATGGAAGGAAATACTCAAAGACATGAGACAAAATGTTCCGATATCTTCAGGTTAAAAGCTCTCGTTTAGTGTATAAGTAAAAAGCATCACACCTGAACACATCATGAAGGAATTTCAGAGCATCAAGGATACAAAGGAAATTCTCACCAGATCACCTACTTCTCATCAGCAACAATGGATGCTAGTAGAAAATGGAACAAAGTATTCTAAGGGAATTGTTTTTAACTCAGAATTCTCTACCCAACTAAACTATCATTTCAGAGAGAATACAAAATAATGACATTTTCAGATACATAAGGATTCAAATGGTTGATCATCT